TCTATTCTATTCTATTCTATTCTATTCTATTCTATTCTATTCTATTCCATTCCATTCCTAAATCTAATTCTAATTCTAATTCTAATTCCAATTCCAATTCCAATTCTATTCTTTGGAACATATTCTTATTCCCTTTGGGTGAGATCTGCTCCCACCTCCTGACCTTCTATAAGAGCCTGAAGATGTGGCTCTGCCATTTGGCTTGGAGCCCTAATGGAGGCGTATCATGCTGGAGGAGGTTGATGGACCAAGAGAGGAGGGCCACCTCCCTTTCTCCCCATCCTGCTCCATCCCTCCCCAACTTTTAATTATAATTCAATTATCATGTTTATCTTTATTATTAGAAATATTTATTTTTATGGTTTTATTATTTTTAATGTTGTAAGATGCCCAGAGTCTGTTTGTGGGAAGATGGCTGGCAAACAAATTTAACAAGCAAGCAAACAAGCAAATAAATTTTAAACATAAAAAGAATGGTTGAAGGAATTGGGTATGTTTAGTTTAATGAACAGAAGGACTAGGGCAGGGGTGGCTAACCTTTTTGGGCTCCCATGCTGATAATTGCATGCACCAATAATCTGCATCTGTCATCATGTAACTGTGACTGATTTTACCATCTTTTTTGCAACAGTTATTAAGTGAATGAAGCAGTCAATAAGTGGATATGTTTTATGCCCATGGGTATTTTTTGTCAGAAATTGGAACTAAATTCTGGAGAAAAAAGCTTAATATCACAGTCATGTGACAACAAGATGCTGAGAAGAGCCATAAATGTAAGGTAGTTGTCAAGTGCCCCAAATCTGATTGCATTGTGGGAACTTCAAAGTCCAGTCGTACGAACCATCATAACTTCCAATACTTGCTAAGTGACTCATCGTTAAGTGAGGACTACCTGTACATCCTGTCCTCCCAGGCTCTACCATGTGGTCTTTGCCCATCCTGCTCCCTGTTTTGCAGTTAGCTGCCCTGTGTGCCTTATTATTAGTACTGTGTATTCCATCTATTCCAGGGGTGTCAAACATGATTTCATTGAGGGCCGCATCAGGTTGTGTTTGACCTTGGGGGGCTGGATGGACGTGGCCAGCTCAACATCACTCATGTCGGGGGTACCTAAAGAGGCCGGAGTGCTCTGCCAGCGAAAATGGAGCTAGGGAGGACCACACACAACCCTCCTGACCTCCGGGTTTGCTGGCAGGGGGTTTCAGGAAGCCATTGCGGCCGAAAATGGAGCTCAGGAGGGCCTTCCCGAGCTCCATTTTCGCTGGCAGAGGCACCATGGGCTGGTCCTTCACTGTTTCCAGGGCGGTCCCGTGGGTCAGATCTAAGCACCCCATGGATTGGTTCTGGCCCACGGGCCTTGAGTTTGACCCCCTTGATCTATTCCATCCTTATTTCCTGCTATTCAAAATATGCTTGTTTTTCTAGTGTTCAAACCTGAATAATTACTATCCAAACGTATTAACTTTCATATGCCTGCCAAGAGACATGCAAGCAACAAAGTTAAAACTGTTTACTTAGCATATAATATTCCATAGTATAATTAATTTTGGAGCATTAGTTCCACTCCAGGGTTTAAATTCTCAAGAGTTCATTGAAAAATTTAACATTTTCTAAGCAATCCAATTGTTTTAGGCTACATAATCTAAAAATGAATGAATGAAATAACAGGTCAGTCAGACACAATATTATCCAGCAAGCTAACTGTAAATATACCCCATATTTTTGGCTAATGCATACATTACATCTACTTTGGGTCTATTACCTTACATTGCTAACAAGAAATACTGAATTTTCTAGAATTGCACTGAAGCCGTAGGCTGCAAAAAAAATAAAAAATCTTATAAATAATATAAGCATTTTTAATACCTCATCTTTTTATACACATGGTGTACCTGCTTTGTACAAACTTTAATTACAACCTTTTTTTTCTTTTTGGTTATTATTTGTTACATGATAAATCTTAACATGAATCTGAACAAAAGCAAACAACAGCAGCAGCAGCATTTAATAAGGGCTGTTTTACCCATACAAGTATGTCACTTGATTAAATCAGTCCTGACAGCCAAATATGTGGACTAATTTCCTTGAAACATAACCAGTTTTATATATTTTCATGGGTTGCCAGCTATGAAGTATAATAGAAACAGGTATTACAGAGTAGGAACACATTTTTTGGGGGAAAAAGAGTGCATATACACAGACATGTAGTTCTCAACTTAAGTCATTCGTTTAGTAACTGTTCAAAGTTACAATGGCATTAAAAAGGTGAATAACCACAGTGGTTAGGATGCAGTACTACAGGCTACTTCTGCTGACTGCCGGCTGCCTGCAGTTTGGCAGTCTGATTGTCACCAGCTCAAGGTTGACTCATCCTTCCATCCTTCCGAGGTCAGTAAAATGAGGAGGCAGATTGTTGGAGACAATATCTGTAAACTGCTTAGAGCGGGCTGTAAAGCACTATGAGACAGTATATAAGTCTAAGTGCTATTGCTGATGACTGTTTTTCACACTACAACCATTGCAGCATCTCCATGGTCACATGATCAAAATTTGGATGCTTGGCAACTGGCATGTGTTTATGAAACAAAGGACTGTCCTTAAAAGATGTAAGGTCATTCATGATAAAACAAAAAGGTTTTTGGAATGCAGGTATGAACATGAACCCTGATACAACTCATTAAAGCAGCTATGTCTTTTTTTTTTTTAAATCATATGGAGTCCCTTTGCAGCTATAATACAATCCTGGGAAATGAGATGTTTGGTTTCAGGCACTGCAAACAGATGTTATGTTGGCAACTTTTCTTGCTCTGCCTTTTCCCTTCCACAGCACAACCTTAAAATGCAAGGCATCTGTGTCGTTCTTGTGGAGAAGTTATCCTTTGGGTTTTAGTGGTTGAATTTTACGTAACTTATCTGAAATTAGAACGGATCTCAGTTGTTAAATAATGCAACAAAATAATTTCTCTTCTGCCCTGAAATATATAGGTAGTCTTCACTTAGAGACCACTTGTTCAGTAACTGCTCGAAGATGGCTTTGAACAAGATGATTTATGATTGGTGCTTGAATTTGTAGCTGTCACAGCATCCTCACAATCAAGTGACGGAGTGTGATTCGGGCAGAAGGCAACTGGCATGTAATTATAATGGTTGCAAATGTTCCATGTCATGTGAGCACCATTTGTGACCATCACCACCAACAAGCAAAGTCAGCGGGGAAACTAGCAGGAGGTTGAAGATAGCAAGCAAGTGATATTGCACCTAATAACTATAATTGGAACTTCCAGAATTGCTACTGTTAAGTTGGCACAATTCTGTCATTTTTCACTTTATGGCGTATTGCTTAGGAATGGAGTTCCCAGGCTTAATTCATTGTTAATTGAGGACTATCTGCATTGCTGAGATGAAACAACAGCTTGGAGGAACAGGAAGTGAAACTCTCTGTGTGGTAGGATCTATTCAATTGGAAAATTCCTGGGCAAAGGATTACTTAATTCTAGAGCTGTTTGCACACTAGCAACATCTGCCCTCTTTTTGGATTTCCCAACCATCCTTGAAGTAATAAAAATATTATTATTATTCTTACACAGTATCATGGTTGCATGATTCTAGAAAACCCTGTAAGTCACTGTGGATGGGGTGTGGGTCCTGCAGAAGTGGAGGTCTTTTTGCATCAAGCT